CCTCCTTCCTCCTACATTCGCAAGCACACCACACTTTGATTCCTTTTGCGCTAGTCTTTTCCCACTGTTCTCCTGGACAACATTTGTACTTGTTTGAAAATCCTCCTGTTTTATGCACACACAGTTCATTTCGCAGCTTTTCGCGGTATAAATAGCCTGTCTTGTAGGATACTTTCCGTCGGTACTCAGCTTCCCCCCCCCCCCCAAGACTAGCGCAAAAGGAATCAAAGTGTGGTGTGCTTGCGAATGTAGGAGGAAGGAGGAAAAAACCAAAAATTGTAGAAAGAAATAAGAAAAAAAATATAAGACAAAAGTATTTTTTCAGAGGGGGACGCGAACACGCGTAAAGTAAGTATGTTTCATTAAATATAGCAAAAATGACGGAAAAATAGTCAAAAAAGGGATTTTCCTATTGAAACAAAAGAAAATGAAAAAAAGACTGCAACACCACAAATAGTTCAAAAATTAATAAAAACGAAAAGGCGCTGTTTCATAGCCGCTTTTGCAGAAAAAGTAGACACTCAGATTTGATAGGCATGTAGAAGTAGTCTTTCAAATTACATCGAGTCATGCGTAGAAGCGTACTAAAATATAGTCGACTCAGATAATCGCAGAGAACAGGCTGCCATGCGATTTTTGAGCAAGCGGACACCGGAAAATAGTTCGTTGATTTCTTGCAGTTCGCTTGCAGAAATTCGAGAGAATGTTGGCCAACATTTGGACATCAGTTGCGGCGCATTGACTGCATTCTCGTGGACTTTCCGCAGAATATGCAAAATTATTGAGAACCGTGCGGTCCATTGTAAAGAACGGCACAGACCGTAGGCACCTTTCGCTAAGAGAAAGTTCCCCAAAATCGGGTATTTAAACCATCAATTACACTTCTGTTTTGCTACCTTTGCTCGGCGTACGCCCGAAACCACGTAAAAAGTGTCCGAGCGCCTGCTGAAAGTTTGGCCAGCGCTCGCTGAAACATTATTTGACGAGCGCTCGCAGAAAATTTTGTATTGCTGCCCGCTGATAAGACACGGAAGCAACGCTCGCTGAAGGTTTGGCCACGCCCCATAATTTTGCTGACCGCTTGCAGGAAAGCGCGAGTTTGCGGATGCTCCCACCGATTATCCGAGCGAGTAGTTCCTATCTGCATCATTTCGAAGAGTTCGTACCTGAAATAGACATAAAACATCAGAAAACATCAAAAACCATTCACATGGCGGGTGTCTGCTCTACGGCCAAAATTCAGGATAGTTGGACGGTGTGTGCGGTGACACATGATCATATGAAATGATTCGAATATACAAGATATTACGGCTGTTTCTTTGATTTTGCTCTGATAAAAACCTTCCAATTTTATTAGTAGATGTCAGTCGAATCCCAAACGGCAAAATAATCTGTTATTAACAAATTTCTCAAAAGGAAGAAAGAATTCTATGGAAAGTTATCCCCTGTGTTTAGTCGATATGAGTAGAAAAAACGTTTTCGAACAAGAGGTTAGGTATTTAGTAGGTACTACTTGTTATTAAATCTTATTAATTATTAATTATTAATTATATCTTCAGAGTGACTTGCATAAGGCGTGAACCAGAAGTCGCAAGCTCTTGAAGCTTTGGCATGGTTATAATGTCAATCGTCTATTCTGCTTAGATTTTTAGAAACATTCAGAGATAAGCGCACTTCAATGAGAAAAGGAGAACGGAGACACCACCAATAGAGCTAACTGTATTTATCAAATATGTACATGCGTATGTGTAACCTTCTATCATTTATTTGTTTATTCACTGTCTTTAACGTAAAAATATGCAGATTTGAACACCCCTAGTGTAGCATCTCTTCATCGAAACATCAAATTTTCATCGTTTGCGAACTCGGTTGACCTTTTTGTATGAATAATTTTGAAAAGCTTTGACTTTGACATCGACATTATCGACCATTCGTGAAATTCGCCAGCAAATGCCAATGCAATGGATGCAGATTTTATATCAAAGCGTAGGTGCGATAGGTTGAGCAAACTCTCTGCTCCCTTCACTTTTGGGCCGGCATCTGAATGACTCCTTTCATCTACATAACGGCAGAATAAAGCACCCATGATAAGCGGTGCACATTTGTTTGGGACCGCCAGCTGCTGCTTTTTCTCAACCAGTGCATGACATGACAACCATTACAGCGTTTGCTAAAGAAAACGCAATTTTGGGACCTCTTATGTGTGGTTTTCTTCTAGCGAAATAAACCCATGAATTTAGGAGTGCCTGATTTTTTGATTAAGCAACACTGTTCGATGAGTTTATATTGTTGCAGGGAAGAATTATGAGGAGGAAGTCTGGTCTGCCTAATGACGGTTGCTTCTTTATTGGGAATCGAATTATATCTTCTCTCATTAGAGAACGTGATAGGAAATAAGGGCGCATTTAGATTTCTTAATTTTAAAGGTTTTCATTTACATGCGAAACCTCGGAAAACACCTTTCCGCTTCAAAAATAAAGTATAATATAATTCACGAAGTCAGCTGGTATTGTAGCTGGATAAAATTTCTCGTATCTCGCTTCGCAGAACAGCAAAAAAAGAGGTCTACGTCGATTTCTCGTGCTCTTGTTATCAGAACTTGTATAAACTATGGTGCATAAAGATTTTCCGCCTCCAAAAAAGACTTGCTCCTTCGATTATGAAAGCCAACCCATTAAGAGGACGGGGTAGAGGCTAAAATAAATATCTTCACCCATTTTTAAAAAGCCACAGGTCTTTTCCTTTAACAATCTATCTACCATTAGAAAGCTCACGAAACTTAAATTCAACCTAGAGAGTCTCTTTTTCCTAGTTCCCCCTCCCCCTCCCCTCCCCCTAATCGGAGATGAGATTCAAGCTGAAAACGGGTGTTTCTGTAAAGAAAATTTTAAGCAAAGAATGAATGAAGACGCCTAATGGTCTAACTTTTTTTACAGAGCAAGACTTTGCCAGTAAATATAGATCGTCTGTTTTTTTCTAGCTTTCCTTTTTCTTTCAGAAATGGAGCGCAAAGTGATCGCATAAAATCAGTTAATGCTGCAGCTAAATAAAAGTTTATGTGTGATTTCACAGGAGTGCTACAAGAAATAGTCCACGTCGATTCTACATGTTCAAACTTTCAAATGGTATGTGAATTGAGACATAAAGCTTTTCTAAATCAAAAAATCTCTGTTGATGTCCTTTTGAAACCAAAGTAACCATGAATTCTTCATTTCAACCTCTGTGCCACTTATTCTCCTTCTTTGTGCACCAGTTTCACTCTGCATGTTACGTCAAATTAACCTCAATACTCAGTTAACCTTTCCACTTGTTAATAGGAAAATAGCCAAAACCCCTTCACCTGGAGAACACCCTGCTCCCCTTTTCGCAGCTATGTATCAAAGTATCTATCAATGCGAATGTTGTTCGTTAAAGCAAAAGCGACGTCACGGATTGTTATGCTTCAAAATAGATTTCTGTGAGCTTAAAAAAATAAGTGCTCCAACTGACTCACTCAACTTGGTTTGGAGGGGGACCGATTTGAGAATTATCACAGTTAGAAGCGATAAGTTAGAAAATTGAGTTCTGTCTGGGCATTTCTTTTGTCCGCTCTCCCGCTGAAAGGTATCAAAACTTCACATTATCAAGTTGAACACCTTCAGAGCATTTTCCAAGATGCTTTGGTATACAACTTGTTTCCACGTAGCCTACTTAAGCAGAACTTCATATTGAAATATTTTTTAGAATAACGTTCTTGCGTTTTTAGAGTAAACACCACATCATAGTTCAAGGAAGTGGTTAGCATTACCTCAAAGACTTTTAGAATCGCGTAAAACTATTGGGTTAAATCTAAAGTTCGCTTGCAGCTTTTCGAAGTCATAACTTCTTTCTGTATCAAATTCTGAGTTGTATTTGATAACTGGGTAGAAGAATTACTGTTGCGGCTCGGTGGGCTCTGCGCCTCTCACCTTGCGCTCGACTGCCATGCGCCACAGCTCCTGTCCCCAAAGGACTTCCGCCACTGCGGGTGGCGCCAGCTCACAATGGCGCGTTACGCCTACACTGCATACAAAACAATAAAAATACATAAATTTACTAAACAAATATACACGAGAAAAATATACGACATAAATATAAACATACTTACCACGGGGAGAGTTAAGCTCTACCCCGGGCTACCGATGGGGACTTTATCTTACTCGCACTCACACGCTAACACACTCACACACTCTCCCGGCATCCAAGGGAGCTACCCACAGGCCGGCCGCGCGCCGCCAAGGCAGCAGTTACGGCACGGCAACACCGACCCCATGATGTTAACCCAGCATCGAACCAAGCTCCCAACGAATCCTGCGCGACCAAGGCGCTTCGTGATGTTCATAATCCTGGAATTCTATCCTCGCGCGTACACCCAAACAATCCATCAACGATTCATCCAATCGCGCGAGGCACGGGGACGTAGACACGACGGCGATTTTTTAGAAACCCAACCAATCAATAATAAAGGCGGCACGACGATAATAGTAAGATGACAAGACGAGAGAGGCCGCACTGGCGCGCGTACGCGCTATTTATAGCGGTGGCTGGGGGCGTGCCTACATGGTGTGGTCTCGGAGCGAACAAGGTAGCCGTCGTAAAGCGCGGCGACCGTGCCCACGACCGAGACGCGCGGCAACACGGTGCTCCCGGCCACATGCTGTGAGGAGCGGTCGATCGCGAGCCGCGACACTCCCCCCCCCCACAACGAAAGGCATTGGGCGTTGCGAATAGGTGGTTACGTGATAGCACCGTGACCTGGGGCAACTGCCTTAACCTAAAAAATTTGGGCGATGATAGAAAAAAAGAGAAACATACGGCATCGGTAGCCAAGGAACAGGCAACAACCCGCCCCGTGGTAAAGCACAAAAATAAACACAAAACTACAGGCGCTTTGACGCGCAGGTGACTACTAGATTAAACCGGAGCGCTCAAGGCGCTTACCAAATAAATATGAACAATGATTAAAAATACTTCTACAGCTACTAAACTATGTACAACGTTTCAGGATAGACGCTCCAGCCCATAGCATCATCATCGTTCCACCTCGCCATCTCACCATCCATCTCGACCAGCGCTGATCTTACTGCGCATCCAGCTCGCACTACGTCCCCCGCACCATCAACGTCTAACCACTCTAAATATACTCATACGTTCAACATCTAGGGAGCGTAATGCCCGAAACAAAACCTACCGCCCCGCAAACCTACATGACGCGCGTCCTGGAACGCACACCCTGAAACAAAGGAAACTTCCACCCTCTCTTAATTTTGGATAAATCTACGATAAAAAGAGCACAAAATGAAACAATGTACTGAGAGGGTGTTGGCTTCCTGACAAAAGGTACTACGTCTTTCCCGAAACATCCCCGAATTCGTGCGTCTAGCACCCGTCCGGACCGAATTGGACGAAGGTCCAGCCTCCCGCCGAGGACAAAATGCCTCGACGAGGGGATCGACCCCGCAACTCAAGAACCCGGAGGTGCACCACTGTGGGTCTGTTCAAGGAAAGACGGCCCAACCTATAGAGCAGATGTTACAGGAGCCTGGTGGACTGCTCGCAATGGCTCTATGGTCGGGACTTAGGCAAATGAGACGGCGCGTCCAATGACGGCTGCAACTTCCTAAAGTAGACTGTACCGTTAAGCTGCTCGACAGAGTAGCAATGATAATCAAGTTAAAAAATTAGCGGAAAATTTAATTGGTGTTAACGCGCTACTACAATAGGAAGTATAACTGGTGGGGAGCCGACGAACTAAGATGTTACGCGGGACTTTACATGGCGCGATAGATGTTAACGCGCTCCACAAGTGCGCCGGATGGTGTTAGTGCTGGGTTAACTAGCTCGACGGATGTTACACAGTAAGTAGGCAAAGTATAAAAATAAATTTTAGAGGCGCGACAGTCACAAAAATGTTAAAGTGTAAAAGAAGATTGACTGACGCGCAGATACAAAACGTTAGTAGATTTAGAAATATAAAATGTAAAAAGGGAAATTCAAAACAAAATTTAAGACTAGTGTTGCCTACTAGTATCGTTCGAGTCCACAGTATCACCTGGTTGCGCGTCCGCCTGCGCATCTTGTGGATTTGCCATGGGTATTCGTCCACGAACTTCCATCAACTCCCGCGAGATGTCGTCTTCGGACTCGCACGTCGAAATTCCTATTCCCAGCTCGCCGTTGGTGCCATCATCCTCAAAACAGATCATCGTCACGAGGTATCCTAGGCTGATTAACGGCACGTTTGCGCAGTGAGACTTCCCTCTAGACGTTCCGACGATGAATCCACCGGCATGGGCATGATTACTACTCAGCGCAACGACTAAATGATGTTACGTACTTGACCCACCTACTTAGCGCGTTACGCTAAGTATGTAGACGCGCAAACTGAGTATAACCATGTCCAAATGTTGGAATATGAGGCAAGCTGCTGTAGAAGACACTACAGCGAGTGCGGGAGTAGGTGCTACCCGCAGGACTATTCCAACCTTCGTCAAATTCGGGTTGCGCTGCACACCGACAGTGTCAAATAGGAGATGGAACAATTACACAACAAAACAGTAATGCAGGCAAGAAGTAAGTCCGAGTATGGGCCAATCCGAGTAAAAGGGGTAAATCGACAAAGCAACGGCGAAGGCCGCACGTGTAACTACAACCGGTCATGATGGCTACTGATCCCTGACGCCGTCTACAGACAAGTTAGTATAAACATGTCTACGAATCGCGCGTCAGGTAAGAGATCCAGGAGACAAACGCGCTCAAAGAACATGCTTGCCAATATACAGTAGTGCTCGCGTTACACTAGCTGGCCAGGCGAGTTAAGCATGGAGCAAGATGGTAGCAACTGTGATTGAACAAGACACACTAACTCTGAGCGCAACAATGGAGCCAAGCTACTACCGGCAAAGAATATCCATGAAATACGGCTGGCGCGCTGAGCGCAATATCTCGTCGAACGACGATACAACTAAAAAACACGACGATGCCAACATAGATGGTAAAGGAGTACTTCATTTGCCAAAGATGTAATCAAGTAAGCTTGGTACGAGATCAAGGTGCAGATGGAATGCACAACGAGAACAAGGGCGCGATACTACTAGGAGTACTCACGCGCGAGAAGAAACCTGTAGGTGGAATAGGCAATGAGAAGAAAAGTCTACGCTGCGCCAACAGAAGATGATATACTACCAAGGGCGCGCTTACCAGATGTAACATAACAAATACCAGGATTGACGCGCAGTACAAGGAATATCCAAAAAATGCGCAGATCGTGCTAGCGCACGGACAATGTACTGAACGCGCGTAAAGGAAAAACCAAGTTTAAGTCAAAGCCGGATGAATGGCAGTCTTGCAGGTAGCCAAGGATCAAAAAGAAATTGCAGCTACGCGGAGCACTTACAGGAACAGCTGCAGAATTACAGAATAGCGCGAAAGAAAACGCGCGTGCAGAGGGTTACTGCAATGAGCGAGAAGATGGTGGCAGGCTCATGGCTCGCGAAGCTGCAAAAGGAACAAAAATACTGATTCGGCTGGGATGCAGGCTGCAATGCAGTAGACAATAGCAACTGTGAAGATGGAACAGGTTCGCTATACACCAAAGATAGAATACTTAGCGAAAAGTACAGATCTACTGCCTAACCGACGCTCTAAGGCCGAAGAAGACGAAGTTTGCGCGAAATGAGCAGTTGGGTCACACATTCACCAAAATTACAAAAACACAAAAGGGGCTATGGTTGCTTATTGCGTCGACAACAACAAACAAGACATAGGAAATAAGGGAAGAAGCGCAAAGGATCCAATGATCGATATGCACAAAAAGGTGGGGTACACGCCGCCTAAAGTGCGCGCTCAACAACAATTGTTTCAGGACCCAACTGAAGAAAAAGTGGGGAAATAAGGGACAAAAATTACAAAAAGAAGGGCATTCCGCCGCAAAAACACAACATCTGGCCTGATAGTAAAAACAGAGCGTAAAGCTCGACAACGGCCTGGCATCAGACAAATCAGAACAAAAAAGAAGGAAACAGAGGCTCGCTACCTGGATGGAAAACGGTAAGAAATTCTGCCTGTTTCCAATGGCTCTCTCTGTCATACTATCCGTCGTGTAACCAACGACAAAGAAGATGGACCATGCCTGAACGAAGCGCGGCGCGCTAGGGGGCAACACTCACACCCATCGGTAACCTAAAGAGAATAATAATTATAAATAGAAAAACACAGAACACACTCCCTACTACCCATAGCAACGAATAACCCTACTAGACCCTTCCAACTTACCCAACCTACTCCATCGCAGAGGGAAAAACAAAAAAGAAAAGTGTGGTACGTAACCGTGGGGTGACCAAAGGACGTAAGGCAAACAGAGCATGAATAACGACAGAGTGTCACTGAAGAGCCTGCGCGGCACTAAGTGGCGCGCGTATAACAAGGTACGGGAAAGGTTATCCTGTCGGAGGCCGGTCTGGAAACTGCTCAGGGCTCCTGTCGGCGAACGGAGAGGCCATCATGATGACCCATGGGCACTTGGACCATATCCTGCTTAAAACCGTGCTTCGTACCAGTTGCCATCTTTCGTCGTCGTCCTGCTGATGGTACCTTCCAGCGTCTTGCACGGCAATCCTGTCCTTCTAGCACGGCTGCTCTCCGCTTGTACTAGGGGTGGTGGGCGAACTAAGGGGGCACAGGAACGAACGCGCAAGTGCGCTTATTTGCGCGAACGAAACTTACCTAATGGTACCTCATGTTACACTACGACGGGAGCCAAAGGCGACTACGATTACTGATGACGATCAAAAAAGAAAGGAGAAGAAAATATACTACGGGGACACTAATACCGGTTTGTGGGAAAACTAAACTACAGTAGAGCGAAGGAAGAGAAGGTGGTGTGAAAGAAAAACTAACAGGATATAGATCCAAGGACCCCTAGTACTCATCCAAACTCACATCTAACCCCAAACTTAAACTTAGAAAACACAAAAATACAAAAGCTATAGAGCACAAAACACTAACTATAAAACCCCAGCTTACATAAGAGAACCCGAATCCCGTCTCCCCGGCTATGGTCCAAGCTCCTTTATATCAATATAGGACGGTGTCGATCCCCAGCTGCGATTCTTCGCGCGTCTCGATACTGCTCCACCTTCGCGCGTCCACCGATACAGCTCTACGCAGCTCCATACCCCTCTCTCCTATCGTTCCTCCTGTCCATCGCTCGTCCTTCGCCTTCGAACTAGCGCGTACAACGATACAGTACTAAAACGCGTTCGACGATACAACACTAGTACACGTACGACGATACAATTCTAGAGCGCGTTCAACGATACAATGCTACATACGCGTGCAACAATACAGCTCTAAATCGCGCTTCCTAACTTCCAACCATCTGTCTTCGAACTGTCCATCTCCATGCCAGCTTCCCACTCGAACAACAATCCAACATCGAACTCTCCTGGCGCGTACTCCGGTACAGCTCTCTCGCGTGCTCCGATACAGTCCTAAAATGCGCGTACAACGATACGACTCTTTTTCCCGCCTCCACGATCTGGTCTTCTGCGCGCAGCGTGCTCAACGATACAACACTAAATGCACGTACAACGGTACGACTCAGGCGCGCTCGCGATCGTCCTATCCTCCGCCTTCATCTTCCTCCTCCATTTGTCTGACATCCATCTTCCATCGATCAATCCACAGTCCAACAAGGCGTCCGTCTTCAACTCTTCCTATCATGCTTCCTCCAATCCTTCGCTCCAAATCCCAAAGACTCGACATGTGCGGCCGCTGGTACTCTCCGGTACCCCTGGTCGAGCCCGCCGACTACGACACCTGCCCTCCACCTGGGCAGTACTTTTTAAGCACGACAGGCTTACCAGGTATCGCATGACGTGGTCGCTCGGCCGATTGGGGTTCTAGTTGGCAAGTTGCCACAGTCTTCCCGACTATCCCTCCGCGCTGACACGCCATGCTTCGCACCCTGGCTACCTTCCGGCACTCTTGCTACTGGCTACGTAGGTATTCAACTCTGCCTCTCTGTTTGCCAGGACTTCCTACTGGGGCGCTGAGCGTGGTAGCTTCGGGCTCGTTACGCACGCATGATGGATGGGATAGCGCGTTCCTTCAACAACGTAACAACGACGCAACACACCGATGACGCACGACTCTGCTCCAACTTGCGCGACTAACCCATCCGCGGGCGGCGACGCCATCCACCATGCGCTCGGCATCGATGCACCATGTTGCGGCTCGGTGGGCTCTGCGCCCCCTCACCTTGCGCTCGACTGCCATGCGCCACAGCTCCTGTCCCCAAAGGACTTCCGCCACTGCGGGTGGCGCCAGCTCACAATGGCGCGTTACGCCTACACTGCATACAAAACAATAAAAATACATAAATTTACTAAACAAATATACACGAGAAAAATATACGACATAAATATAAACATACTTACCACGGGTAGAGTTAAGCTCTACCCCGGGCTACCGATGGGGACTTTATCTTACTCACACTCACACGCTAACACACTCACACACTCTCCCGGCATCCAAGGGAGCTACCCACAGGCCGGCCGCGCGCCGCCAAGGCAGCAGCTACGGCACGGCAACACCGACCCCATGATGTTAACCCAGCATCGAACCAAGCTCCCAACGAATCCTGCGCGACCAAGGCGCTTCGTGATGTTCATAATCCTGGAATTCTATCCTCGCGCGTACATCCAAACAATCCATCAACGATCCATCCAATCGCGCGAGGCACGGGGACGTAGACACGACGGCGATATCTTAGAAACCCAACCAATCAATAATAAAGGCGGCACGACGATAATAGTAAGATGACAAGACGAGAGAGGCCGCACTGGCGCGCGTACGCGCTATTTATAGCGGTGGCTGGGGGCGTGCCTACATGGTGTGGTCTCGGAGCGAACAAGGTAGCCGCCGTAAAGCGCGACGACCGTGCCCACGACCGAGACGCGCGGCAACACGGTGCTCCCGGCCACATGCTGTGAGGAGCGGTCGATCGCGAGCCGCGACAATTACCTTTTGCTTTGGCGTAATCATTGAGAAGAGATACTAGAGGTACAAGCATTAGCAGAGAATTGCTCAGGTTTGGCACATTTCAGACAAAATCTCTCAAAAAATAGTGAAAGATGGCAAAATGGAAGCAAGAAACTTCGTATATTTAGAAAAAGTGAAACGTGCTAACAAGGAGAGGATACTT